AAGCCACTAACTGAGCAAAATCATTATGGTCTTCTCTTACTAAGATCTCTGTAGTTTAATTGCAGTTAATCATATTTGCATCCCTGGAATTTTATAAGGGGTGGTGTTGAGGGATAACCTTGTGAGAAGGAACTACTCTGTAGTTATTCTTTGAACAGTAATGAGAAAAATTATTGTCCAGTGATTATTATTATTATTTTTTTAATTAACAGGAACAGAGATACATTAGTCAAGTCAGGTTTCATGTAACCCAGCAGGACTTAATAAATTGTTAATTAAGGGATTATTACAAGCAGAAGAAGTCCTTAAGTTTGCCCCTTAGATCCATGAACATTTTAAAATGTGTTTAATTGTAACTTCAGAAAAATTTAAACTCAGTAACACGTGTGTTATCTAGTTAATAAAACAGAAGAAGGCCTAATCTAAGGGAAATCAATATTATATGATAAAGACTAAAAAAATGAAATCAAGTCACTGAGTAGTACTGTGAAGATGACTGAAACATAAACAGGAAAAAATAACACAGCCTTGAGTAGTACTATTAGTTCAGTAACATTCTGAAACAGTAGGGTTTCAGTATAGCAACAAGAGCTCACTAGAGCAAAGAGGAAAATACTTGACCACAGGCTGCATCCAGAGTTCACAGGCTTCCTAGCAATGAGAATCACTGTAAGCACTATCTTGTGTTATCTGTTTATTGGCTTGTATTGATTAAAAATCCTATGTAGCACTGTGGGGCTGCTGTGCAAGCTACTGTGTTGACACAAAACAAAAAGACAAGTCTGTCCCCGTTTCACATACCTTGGTTGCTCCAGTGATTTTTGTTGTTTTGTTCAACCTGACTTCCAAAAGGCCATGCATGACATGTGAAAGCCTTGATGGGAGAACACGAATAGAATGGCTTTTGCAGCACAAATTATAAGTGTGTTGTGGATCATTTAAACTTACTCTCTTCCCTGTGAATCCTCTTTGTCCAAATTAGAACTTACTGAGTTTTCACTGGAATAAAATGTTTGTTTTATAGTCTGTCTACTGCTGGGTTTGGAAATGGCTTTATGTTGCTGGGGGGCTGTATAAAGAAGAACCATCTTCTCTTTTCTGGCTGCACAGATACTGTGCTTATGTACTAAAAGTAGAGGATACCTCTAACCTCAGAACTTCTGGCTAAGGGGATTAGTAAGTGCTCAGGTGCACGTGTCAGTTAACACATGTAAACTGAGCTGCTAGCAAGTGGCTGTGTTTTTTTTAGGCAGGAGCATGTATGTGAAAATAGGAAAGTAATGAGTCCTGTCACACAGAACCTTTCTAAGACAGTGAAAGGAAGTTTATATTCCATTTATTACAGGCTGAAAATTTGAATAGGTGAAACTACTCCCGGCTCAATTAATAGTAGCTGTTTTGTCAGAACGACCTGATCAGAACTGTGGACACTAACAGTGGGCTTCAAAGGAACTTCTGTGTTTTTTTCCTGTGCAGTATTTGATACTAGTGATACGCTTTGAGGATGGCTTTGTAACACGTGAAAAAGCAAGCTATATTCATACTTGCCCTTAGGGTCATAGGAAATATATGAAGGGAGTTTTTGTACTGTTCAAGTCTGTTATTTTCCAATATAACTATTTTGCTCTTGAGTAGAACTCTACTGGCAAGGAAAAGAGTAATCTGATTCTCGTGCTATTATTGCAGAGCCTTATGTATTTGAAGCAATAAAACCTATGAAAGTCAAATGGCAAGAAGATCCACGTTTCCAGGACAGTAGCTCTGAGGATGATGATGAACCAGAGGCAACAGAAAGTGAAAGAGAGAAAGAAATGCAAGTTCTCTTTGTATTTGTTGTCTTCTTGGTAGGAACTAATGCTGGGTGAATTTTAATAGCAGCAAGTATAAGCATGGGTAACTAACAACCTTCACTGTGCATCCTTAACCAAGAAAAGTCTTTTTTAAGAGAAACCACTCCTTACTGCACAGAACATAATATTAAAAAATGTTGCTATCAGACTTGATTTGAAGTTAAATATTAAAATAGAGTTTCTAGCAGATTGCATGGTATTTAACTGGGTACTGGTTTTGGCCAAGTCAAATAATGTCAAGCGTTCTTCAATATTTCTATCCAGAAGTCTATATCTGGTTACTGTGGAGCACTGTTGTTCTTCAGTACTGCTATTCTCTGAAATACTGCAGCTTTAATATATGCTAATGGAACTTGATACTAAATTCTATGGTGTTAACACTTTGTGTTTTTCTAGGTTTCTCCCTTTACCACAATCAGGAAGTGCAAGGTTTTTCTTCTTCTCCAAAGATGATGAACGATTAAGAGGTGAAACAGAGTTTATTCACCTTTTCTTTCCCTTCCAGTCTCTTTACTGCAACTGAAGAGGGAAAAAGATTGCCTGGTTAATTAATTAATGGTTTCTAACTTAAATACAGATGAGATGTTAAGACAAAAAAAAAAATCACAACTTTCAGTCATTTCCTGTGCTGTGGGTTGTGGTAGTGCATCCCAACAGAAACTGCAGCTGTTAGCTTGCACTCTTATTTTTAGATCACTGCCTAATTTTTTGCTGATCTTTTAGAGCTTACAAATGTCACTTGGTAAACTAGCTAGATCTTTGGTTCCTTTCAGGCATCTATATGATCTTTTTTTTCCATGCTTCAGTTCTTACTAGGAATATTCAATATGCTTATCAGCCATATACACCCTTATGGTTCTTGGTACTAAGTAATGTGGTGTGTTCTTTCCTGTGAATGTAATGAATCCCATAGTAGAAAAAGAATGGAGTTGGTTCTGATATCTTATAGAAGTGATTATTAGGGCAGTTTTAATTAATGTTCATTTTCTGAGAGAAGTTATAGATTGATTTAAAGAAAAGCATACAAAAGTTACTGTGTACCTAATGCAGTTGTTGTATTGTAACCTGGTCTGTGTATCTGATTTACAGTACTCTGAGTTCATAGCAGGCATAGGTTTTCTTGGTAGACACAGAATCACAGTGCTGAGCTTAATGTAAGGATTGCTGGTTTGCTGCAATTTGTATTTCAGCATAGTAAGGAAAGCTACAGCTACCCTTCATTTTTCCTACCATGCAAAGCTGCAATGAATGAAACCTGTTTTAGTCAGCTGTGTGGTGGAGTTATGGGTTGTGAGTTGTCTGTGCAGAAGATGATCTGATTTTTAACTCTCACTATTTTGCATGAGACTTAAGAAGCGTTACCATGTTCCAATGGCTTTAACCATATTAATTTGTTCTGTGCAGAGGGACCCAAGTTATTTTGTAGATCAGTTAACCTCAATGAAGAAAAAGATAGCTGGGAAGACAGGCGTAGATTATTACTCGAGGTGAGTATTTTAAACAACCTTTTTGAAAAACTATAGCTGAAATCTCAGCATGAGAATGGAATGGGGCTGTTTATTTGCTTAATTTGCAGTAAAGATAAACTTGGGAACTTCAGAGAGACAAACTTTGTCATATCAGGAAGCTAAATTGTTTTTTTAGCCTGTAACTTCATGTTGTTGTGTGTAGTTGGGTAAGTTATTGAAAGCCTGTATTGCACAGGGCTGGTTAGTTAACTGCATGGAAAAAAACAGTTTGAAACAAGTGGGTGAACTGACAACTTCTGATAATGCTGTGTTAAAATTGAAACATTTTCAGGAATGCCGGAAGAAACATAAGGATGCAAGAAGGAAAGTGAAAACAAACAATAAGTCTTGATGTTTTGTGTTTCTTCTTTGAAAGAGATATTTTTCTGCAACTTCTTCAAAATTCTAGTATTTCAAAGATCTAACAGGAAGCAATATTTTAAAAGACTCCTAAATATCATTTCTGAATAGCTACATATTTATTATGTCAATGTAAGAAGTTCTTTTGGTTTTGTTTGTTTGGGATTTTTTCTGTATGGTTTAAATGTGACTTCCTTCTTTGTGTACTGACCAAGAAGTGGGTCATTTAAAAGAGGAACAGTGGATTCTTTTGCTGTGTTCTTGGGCCCCTGTGCTGCACGGGGTTGATGAAGAGCAGACTGATCCACGTTTACATAAGCTATATTCAGCTGAATGTAGTAGAGATCCTATTGGAGGATCCTTTACAAGTTTTTGGAATGTTCTACGTTCAAAGTAAACGTTTACCAGAAGTTTATGAAGATATGTATATAACTGGGAAAACCTATGAAACTAGGTTTGTATTTCTTCAGAAAGATAATTTTTCTACTTTTTAATTGTGTACAGACATTAATAAATAATAAGGACAAATGCTGGTGTTGTATGCTTGTGGAATGATATTTTTACATGTGAGGTGTTCTCATCCAATTAGCATATATGCTGCAGAACCATAGCAGCATTAGAATACAGAGTGTTGTGAAGATATTCTCTGTTGTTGGCTAATTGTCTTGGAAGTTAAAGCACGTTTCAGCATGTATGTGATCTGCCTGGAGGCAGTCACTCAGTGTACCTTACTGCAGACCACAATGCCCAAATACTTGTTGGTACACGGTACAAGTTGTTACGTGCATCCCCTTGTCCCTTATCCTTGGTTGAAAGCTGCATGCTGGGCAAAAATTCAAAGTAATAAGAGAAACTCGTTCAGGACTGTGGGCAGATAACTAGTTGTATCCAGTGAGGCTTGTTGGATTTGGCTCCAAGTGCAATGCAATTTCTTGTAAGAACTCTGTCACAACGCCTAACCTTCATCTTGCCAGGGTCCACCACTTAAAGCAAGGGTTTGTTTTAACTTCCTTTGGCTCTTCCTGGTCTCAGGAGTACAAAGACTGCTGTTGCCAGGCATTACATTAGGAAACAAGGAGGTTAGCTGGCTGTCTCTAGGTTTAAATGGCAAGTGAGTGATAGAGGAGCTCTTAATGCCACTGAAGTAAGAAATTTCAAAAACAAGTTTAACCTTGAAAGAAGAGTTAGAGGACAGAAGATCAAAAAGCAAATAGTGAAAGTTATGAGAGCTGGAGGAGAAAAACTTTTTTTCTCTAGTGCTGTGTTTGGAAGGGCTCTTTTTGTGTCTAGTCTAAATTATCTTCTTTCAGTTTTACTTTCTTTCCTTAGAGTCCATTTTCACATTAGAAGTTCTTTCAACCTTTTAAGGGCTTTCGAGGGTAGTCTGTTAGCTGTAAAATTTTTTAAGCACCTTGTTTTGTCATGCTGCTTTGTGAACACAGTTCTTGCATCAAACTCTTCTCTGTAGCACATGATCCCCCTTCTGAGGCTGGGAAGTCCTCTGGCTTGTGGTAGGTGCCACGTTCTGCAGGGTCCTGCCTTATAACTTCTCTACAATGCTGCTTTCTCCTGAGTAAGAATTACTGTGGCACTGCGGTTCTTGTGTAGTGTTCTCATAACTGTGATCCAGAGGTTTTCCATGGTTAACTGCCTGGCACAGTGCATCTTAAACACATAAAGGTGTCTTACTTAAAATCGTAGAGTGGTCTGGGTTGGAAAGGAGCTCAAAGATCATCTAGTTTCAACCTCCCTGCCATGTGCAGGGTTGCTGGCCACTAGACCAGGCTGCCCAGAGCCACATCTGGGCTGCAAGCTCACGCTGCTGGCTCAGGTCCATCTTGTCCACCAGGACCCCAAGTCCTTCTCTGCAGGGTTGCTCTCAAGGAGTCTATATAAATACCTGGGATTGCCCTGGCCCGAGTGCAGTGCCTTGCATTTGGCCTTGTTGAACCTCATTTGGTTCACATGGGCACAATTCTTTAGCCTGTCCTTACTTACAGCAGTATATGGCTTCAATTAAAACCGTTCTTTTTCTGTCACTTGTTAGATACAAAGAAATAGATGCAGCAAGGCCCTGGATCTGCAAAGGGATGGGAGTATTAGGCACCTGCTCTCAGCTCTTCAGAGTCGCTAGAGTTTGTACAGCTGTACATTTCAACCTGCATAGGCTGTCATGCAGGACAGCTGGAGAAGATTGAAGGAGCATTAAGTTCAGTTCTCTGCCTGACCCTTACTGTGCCAAAGAATGGCTGCTCTGTTTGTTCCAGGTAGCAAGGAGAGGCAATGTTATGCATTACCACAACTTGAAAATCTTCTTTCTTGTAAATCTGTGCTGATATGTGCATCAGAACTGATGCTTACACAAAATGGCTGACTTGATTCACTCACAATTGCTGCTGTCCTGGAATCTTCTTGATCAGATGGCTCATGTCCTTGGAATGGTATAGGAATGAAAACTGCTGTATCAAATTGCTTAATTAAAATATCCAGTTTAAAAGATTAATGCTTTTTTAAAAAAGATTTGTACATGTTTATGAAATGAAGGTAACGCATTTCAGCATCTTAAGATGTAATAGTTTTCTTAGTAATTTGTCTCAATTATGTGGCATGTTTAACAGTGTCTCAAATGGGGATCCTTAGTAGCTTTGTGCAGTCTTCAGTTTCATCCATTGTCTTCTGCTATGTCCTCTTTTCTCTGCCAATTCTGTGGTTTCTCTTGTGGTGTTTAAAAGTCACCTGTTTGCAATATTACTCCTGGATATGCAGCTGGCATGATATATTGAAAATTTGCAGTGTTTCAGTGAACACACCTGGTCTGTCAACAGTAGAAACGTACCGTTTTTGTGCGCTGTAAATTGCCAACGTATTTACATTACAATGGCTGTCCCGGAGTGGTGTACCGGGTTCTGCCAGGCGATGGCATCAGTTGTACAACTTTGCGTTGCAATTGGAGTGTTGCAGACGGAAAACAGATGGCAGAGCAGTAGCAACCAGACCGGTGCACAGTCCCAGGAATGAAGATGGGTGGGGGAAAATGAAGAAACTGCAAAGGCAACATTATACACAGTGCAGCCCCGTAGGTTTTCCATTGCTATGAGGTTGGGTTTGTGTGTGTTGGTGTTGTTATTGTTTTGTTGACAGAGCTGTTTATTGGTCTTTTAGCAGCTGCTTAGCCCTGCGTTGTCTCCTCTGATGCATAGAGGTTTCATCTTCTGCTGGTTTTGCTGCACATATTTAAGGACAGTTTAAATTCTGCACTGTTGCAGTCTGCTCAAACTGGTTTATAGGTAAAGGAGCATGTCTGTCTTTAGCTAGCTGTGCATACGAGGTCTGTGCACATACAAGATGCTGGAGTAGTATTTAGATTGACAGTTTTATTTTTCTGTACTTATGTTAATATATATCTGTTGTAGGAACCTAAAAGATGCCCCTAACTTCTTCCATGCTATTTGTTGCAGCTGTTAAATTGACAGCATGTTCTGTATGCTTTCAGTCCCTGTAATGCAGTGAGAGAGGACAGAAAACTGTAATAAAGCAGGGAGGAAAAATGAGAGACCAATTGCTTCCTGAAGCAAAAAAAAGCTGTTACGTAATCGTTCACTGTTTTCTTCTCCTCCCCCACCTACTGTCCCTCTTCCCTGTGCGTGCTTTCTTGTTCTTATCCTAAGGCAGCTTTATGTGTGAAGCACTTTTGAAATACAATTTGAGCAGCACAACATTTTAGGAATGAGTGTGGAAGCTATCGCTAAGCATCTCTTTGCTGAAGACAGGTTTTAAACCAGCATTTTGCTGCTGCGGGTACATTGTCATCCATTTTGTGTATCACAAAAATAGCTTGTTTGGCTTGGAGTGTGTGGACCTTCTTCCTAAAGGTCCTAGGAGCCTAAGGGTATGGTACTGCTATGTTCAGAGGGCATATCACTAGTTAGCTGCAATCCAGCTGGACCAAGCACAACAGGACTCAAATAGTAACACAGTGAGCTAGCTGGCCAAACAAGGGTTGTGGATTCTCAACAGGTTTCTGAAACTTGAGGCTTTAAAAACTGGCCCTTGTCTGGCTGCTTTAGTCACTCTACTGCCATGAGGCATAGTGGTATAATTTTCAGATGTGACTATGGAGTGAGAATATTGCTCAGATCGTGAGGACATAAATTCTTGAAGGCTTGGTCACGCTACTAAGCTGTTTAAATCTGTGTGTATTCATGTATTCAGCACAGTAGCTGAATGAAACAGCAAGTAAATTTATTTCCCTGGAAACAGAAAAGTAAGGTGCATTAGTGTAAGACCCCAGTGAAAAATGGGTTTTTAGCCTGTTTGTTGCTGACTAATGGCCTGCTTGCTGATGGTTGATGCAGAGCAGCTGTTAGGTAGCTGGGTCTTAATCGTAGTGCTGTTGTTCTGTATACAGCCTTGAAATGACAAAAATATTATCCCATTGCTTCTGACGACCTGGAGTAAATCTTCACCATGAGAGAGGCTTAAGGCAGTTCATTTTATGCTGTAACATCAATTCCTATGATTCTGCTGAAAAACAATAATTCTGTATAATTTTTCTTTTGTTGCCATCCAAGCCAAATAAGTGTTAACATTTAAATGCTTTAAAAAACAAAACAAAAACACTTCAATATCCTGGTGCCTCATCCCCATACCTCTCAGTATAACAGAAATATTTCTCACGATGTTCCCTGCAAAAACTGTTTGTGCTGCAGCAGTCATTCTTATTAGAGGCATTGTACATCCATATCTATCTTCATATATTGCTTAACAAAATGATTTGCTTGTGCATTAATATATTTGGACTCAATCCATTTGCCCTGGAGAGATGCAATCTCTGACTCAAATACAGCACGGTCTGATAGAAATTTCTAAAAATTCCTACCAGGAGGCTTTGACTTTTTTTTTCTACTTGAAATCAAGGCTTTTCTGGATGCAAAGATGTCTAACATCTCAGTGTAGATAACTGCTGTGTATAAAGTCCTTGATTGCAACGCGTAAGTGTGGAAGTGGCATACTCAGCTAGGGGAGTACGTCTGCAATGTTAATATAATAAAACTGTTTGCTCACTGTACGTAGAAACTCCTGTTGGTTAATTTGTCTTATGGTATTTGATTTGATCTGATTTTTTTTAAAATTGTATTTATTGAGGAAAAAGTAGGAAATCAGAAACTAAAGCAACAAGGTGTATGGAGGTAAGAGCACTCAGTAGTGTTAAGAGCTTCGGGGAGCTGTGGAAGGAGAGAGGAGCTCTTTGTGGTCCAGGCTGGCAGTTACGCAAGGGGCAGGTATGTCCTGTTTTGCACAAGCTTCCTAATCTGCTTGCCAGCTACAAGTCAGGCAGAGGCAAAGATCCAGCTCCCTAGTCGGTCCTTTTTTCTTCCTCCCATGTGCTTGTAGTGCCCCCAAGGAACTAAGCACAAAATGGGCTCTGAAAGAAACAATGCTTTGCCACTTCTTCAAAAAAGAAAGAAGTAAACCAGCAGTGGGATTGGGTGAACCGCTGCCTAGAGATAGTGTTTATGTTTCCCTGGATTTCCTTCCTCTTCCCTTGGCCAGCTTGGCCGAGGTCCCTCCTGCAGTGTGCCTCTGAGGCTGCGGATGGGGCCCCGCTGCCCCCCAGCCCCAGGATTTCTCAGGAAGGAGAAGTGGTGATGTTAAAGCTGGGTCTGGGGGGGGGGGGTGTCAGGCTGAGTGCAGTTGTGCAGAGGTTAGCTGGGCTGGCGCAGTCACAAGTACAGCATGCCAGCGAGTAGATTGCCTGAAATGATTTACAGCTGAGGGAAGAAGCCAAAGGATTTTCAACCAACCAATGATGCCTTCAGAGGACTTGCTGTTCCCTGGCATGGAAAGTTTTCTAACTCCCCAGCCATACTACGTGCATTCTTTTTCTATGTATTTGCAGCTTGTGTTTTCTTTTAGCAGTTACAATCCAGTGCAACTAGAGCAGGAGAAAATAAACCTTTGATATACAGCTTACATCTCAGTAAGACATAGAGCTCTAACTTTTTCAGCATTCCTCACCATCTTTCCCCTTAAAGCTTAATCTTCCCCATGTTTGTAAAAGCAGCATTTAGTGTTTGAAGCAGCTCCACTGATAATTGCAACTTGTTCAACATCACCTTTCTTAGAGTAAGTGTGATTGGGGTTTCCTGCTTTCCCACTCCTGAGTGGCCATTTCACTTGTATATGTTTGGACTTAACTTGGCTTTGTCAAAGTGTGTTCTTTAATAAAACTTGGACACATCTTTCTTTATCTTTCTACCTCCAGTACATCCTGTATTTAGCTTTCAGATTTTAGAAGAAATTCCAGTCTGACTTCTGTTCTCTATTTCTGTTTTATGCTTTGCTACGTTAAATATAGATGCCATATTGTTAACTGAATGATACAGCTGCTATCCTCAATGCTGTCCTGCAGAGTTCATCTTCCATGGAAAATAATTTGTTCTCTCGTTGTATAAAACATTCTGAACATGATAAAATGGCAATCATTTACAAAGGAAGAAAGAGAGACCAATCCCTTACCAATTTTCTTGAAACGTTTTGTCAGTTAAAGAAGCAACGACACCTTTTGGGTGGTTCTCTTTAAAGAAGGAAGAACAAAGAAAGGTGTTACAGAGTTGAAGATGTTTTTATGTCTCAAAAAATAAAAATACTTCACATGACCCGTGCAAATTGGTTGCTGAGAAGATGAAAAGGGGACTTCTTTATAGAATACGTGTCTGGAGCTTGGGTTTGCGTGATCAGATCTGTGGCTTATTAACCCTGAGAGTTGTGCCATGGAACAGAAAAAAATCTGTTACTCTGTTTTTAGTTCTGTTTACATATAAATTTAAAATGTTTTCCCTTAGAAGTACTTACTAGTTTCTTAGAGATGACACTGGAAGGTGAGATGAGGTAAATAATTGGAATTAAGTTAAAATCTGTATTTTCAGTGCAGGTGTTACTGAAGGTTGGCAGGCTATTGCTTTAAACTGGGGCATTTGATAGCTGGTGAAGGCAGTTCAGAACACAGGTAAGTCTTTCTTAAAACTAAAGTTAATGTTTAATTTGGTAGCCTGTTTATATTGCTTGCAGTTTGTACTGAAGTTATAAGCCAGTTCTTTGACAGTGCTAGCTCTACAGGACTATAGTCTAAGGCAATCTCTATGTTAGAAATCAGTGAAGGACCTCAGCAAGCAGTTGCATAGAAATTCTTCTGCAGAAAGCAGTTGTTATGAGCTAGTGTTGTACTAACTGCCTAGGCAGTAAATAAAGGGATGGATGTACCTCGTGCCAAAATACACTGCTGTGGGCAGAAGTAGGCAATGAGGCAATGAGTACTTTTTCAAACTGTAAAAAATTCAAGTTGAAGGTTTTCATTTTTTGTTTCGAGAGAGGGAGTTGTTTTTTGTTTGTTAGAGAACTGCAGGTTAATTTTGATGTGTGAAGTTGAGCTCACCTTCCCTGGAGGAGCTAAGCCTTCCTTTTCATGGTGTGTCCTTGCTCCCAACCACAGGGCTTTTGGCACAGCCTAAATGGGAGGGTGACACTACTGTTTATGTGCTGATACTGCCATGAAAACAATTAGCCTCACTCATGGTGCTGCTTCCACAGATATGGGGCTAAGGTATTACAGCCCATATTGCAAAGAACACTAGGAAAAATAATTGTTCATACCTCTGTCAGAAACAACTTCTGTGTTTTCAGCTTCATCCAAAGCTGAAAAAAATTGGAAGAAATACTAATGTGTTTAAGAAAGATAATCTTCCATTTTTGATGAAATAAGATATTGCTGGCCTCTGTTCTTTGTTTTCATGTTTATAACTGGACCCTGCAGAAATGCAGTTTCCTGTTTCTTACAGGAGCTTGCTGCAGTGCCTGCCTGTGCGGAAGCAGCCACTCAAGCACATTGGAGCAGCTGGGGCATGTGGCAGCATTCCTTCCTATTGCGTGTCCTGTGGGTGCAGTAAGTAAACAGAAGGGTTATGTAGAAGTGCCTCACTGATTGGCTGTTTGCCTGTATCACTGGCATCTGATCTTTAGCATTGGTGGAGTTCAAATCACTCTTTATATTCAAACACGATAATTTGCATAGGCAGAAAAACAGAACTTAGCCTACTGGTAGGGTGTGTTTGCACGTGCAATAATTCATTTTGTGACTCCAATGTGTCACAAAAGCCAAAAAGTGCATGCCTTATTTCTTCTGCATGCAATTCACTCTAGTGACAAAGGGCTCATAACTTTTCATTCCATTGCTTTTGGTTACTGGAGGAGAGTTTTCCCACGTACCACAAACGAAGGGTGCTTTAATGTTGGATTTGTAGGTCCCCTTTACTGCTGAGGTCTGCATGTACGGTGTTTCACATCAATGCTGGTTTTGAAGATGGCACCTGAGTTGTCACAATTACGCAATTGATAGCTGTGAATTATGCAGACATCCTTATTAATTCACTCTTTTTAATTACTCCTGGATGATTTTCTCAGTAGTTTGTCCCATTACATAGGACAATTTACTTAAATGTAACTTTTTTTAATAAATAAGAATACTACTGAATCCCATGGCCTGCTTGGTGCATGCTCAGGCAAATCAGTTCTTTGAACACTGAAGTTGTTCATTTTATTAAATGCTTCTATTTTGTTTTGTTCGTTTTTTTTTTCCTTCTGAATTCAGCATTGGTTTGTGTCAGAAAAGGAGCAGAGGAGGTGGTACACTGGCTTGCCCATTTCATATCTTAATCAGCAGGTATTTTTCCTTTGCTTTTTTCTGGGCTAAGGCATGCTGTTAGTGACAAGAGTGAATGCTGGGAGGGGTGAGACTTTCAGACCTTCAGACTTGTCAGCACTGATCTTAATATACAAAAGGTGAAAATGTTGGGGGGGTGGTTTAATAAAAACAGGCAAAAAACTCGAGAGGTATTTTAATTGTAAGCCCTCTCTTGGTTTTGTTTTGATTGTTTTGATTTCATTGGTTTTCTTGTTTGTTTTGAATTTAGGAGGGGGGTTAATTTGCTTCCAGATCTCATACAGCGCCTTTTGAAATTGCTTCCCTTTGTTCTCTCCACTTTTCTTCCTCCAGTACTCACACTGTTGTAAAAGATTTTGATCAGAAAATATACCAGCAGGGATTGGAACCACATTGTTCTGTTGCTTTGGAAACAACTAAGAAGAGAAGTTTTCATGAAAATCCTGCAGACAAAGGTTCTCAGCCCATACACTGAGCTTAATTTCAGGGAGTTGTACATTCTTGGGCAAGCTTATTGCTTTTCCTCTTAGCCTGAGGGGAGACGGCCATTGGGTGCTGAAATTCAGTGCAGTTTGATAAGGCTGTGTTGGCAGGGGTTGCGTCTGCAGCAGTCTGCTGTAACAGAGGAGGGCTTATTGTGTGTAGCTGGAGCAGGCAGAGTTTGTGTAGCAACGGCTCTCCAGCCAATCGTCGGAGGTGTTAGATAAAGTGGAAGCGTTTGTAGCACTTCCTCTGCTTTTCTTTTTAATTAGGCCATATTCTTTCCTGAACCCCCTCCTCCGCTGCAAGCATCAGACAGCATCCTGAAGCTGTCACTCTGTTCTGCGCAATGGAATTTGGATATTGGAAAGATCTACAATTTGAACCTAGCTGGTTTTGTGTAATCTTTTTGTTTTGAGCCATGTTTGCCAGGAGAAGGTTCTGTATTTTGTTTTCCTCTGCCTTTCTTGGAGAGTACCTTGCAGTGCTGGCTGTGCTGTTCATCTAAGTAAGATGTCTGAATTTGTGTGTAGGCATTTTACTAAGAGGACTTAGTAGGAAAAAAAAATCTCATTGGCCTTTAGTTTAGTTTCTCAATGTGTGTTTTGATTAACTAGACTACAGCAGAGGGAGTTCTGGAAGCTGCTGCATACAGCATTACGTGGCTCACCATATCAGAGAGGGCTGACTCATAAACGGTTCGCTCCGCTATTAGCGAGTTTCCTTTAATGAGGCAGAGGGGGTTGGATAGTGCATGCAGATGATGCTGGCAAGTAGCCTTGTGCTGGGAGGAGATGGGAGAGGTTAAGAATTAATGCAAGTCAGAAAAGCTAGTACTGAGGAACTGAACTCTCTTCCCACCTTACAGCTATTTGAGACAGCTGGATGCACTGGATAATAGGAATACAGAAGAAAATGATCCCTGAAGCGCCTCAGTCCGCTGCTCTGTGGAACTCTTTTGGAACAGAGGGAAATCAGTCTTTTACTTAAATAGGCTGAGTTTTCTTCTGCTGAGGAACATCTCCAGCCCAATATCAGGGCTGTTTGGTGAAGCTGTATCATGTTGGTGGTGAGCAGTGTCCTTGCTTTGGTTCAAAAAAAAAAGTCCAACCTAAAGTAGCAGCAGCTGAGTTTCGGGGAAGATACACATTGCATCTCCTGTTGTTACACACAGAGGCCTTGTGTTCTGCAGAATAACATGTCCTGCTGTTTTTGACAAGTTCTTGAATTCGGTTTTATGGTCTTTCATATCCTGCAGCCCTGTTAGCATTTCTTTTTAGAATTCTGTATTACCCAAAGCCAAAGGAATGACAGCCTGTTGCTCAGCTGTCAGATGTGGCCGAGGGCACTGATCACACAGCAAACTCTGTAACGTTTTGGAAACAAGCAGTCCTCTTTTAAAAGACCAATTTTAGTGGAAGTGTTTCCAGTGCTTATCAAGAAAAAGATAGGATGTTTATTTTCTGGTAAAAAAAAAAGTTGTGCAAACACTGAACTCCATATATACCAAACCTTAAAATATCATTTTCATTGGTAGAATACTTGTGCATTTTCACCCACACATCCATGCAGGTTGTTTGAGGAAGGCTGCAGTTTTATTGGTGTTTTCCTACAGACAAGTTGGAAGTAGGCTACAAGCTGAGTGTTTATTGAATGATACTTGTAGAGAGTGCTCTGTGTTCTCCTCCTGTGGAAATAAACATCACAGTCCGTTTTAAGAGACCATTAATTGGGGAAATGAAACCATATGTGACACAAATGCTACATGTGTACAAGGCCACAGAACAGAGCTAAACAGAGAGCTGATCTGTGTGTGGGTGCTGTGAACCAGTCACCATTCTATTAATTAAAAGCGACATTGTTATGAAATAGTCGTTACTTTGGATGCCAAGGCATGACCCCTGTACACAGTGAAATTAGCTAAATTTGCTGTGGTGTGTTTTGAAAGTGAAAGTGGCCTCTAAAAATAGCTTTTATCCTGGCATCGAGAAAGCAAGCTGTAGTACTGCAGCACTCTTTAAGTGTCGCGTTTTCCTTTTTGGTCGATGTGATTGATGTGTTTCAGTGACTTCTGTACGTATTGCTAAGATATGTGCATGACTGCAAGGGAGACATCTTGTTTTAGGAAGTTCAGTAGACAGCTGGATGTTCAGGAAATATCACTGACCAGTAAAGCACTGCTACCTGTGTTCTTGGTAAGAGAAAGAGCTGTGTTCAAGAAACTCGAAACTGATGTATTTGGGAAGGTAGGAGTGGGAGAGAAAAAGGAGACTGACTATTGCTTTCGTTACTGAAAACAAGTAACTATTTTGTAGACAGCCTGTAGTCCATGAGCTGCATGGAATTGGGATGCTCTCACTGTCGAGTTTCAACTTGCAGATGTTCTGAGGAGATGCTAGACAGCCCTGTTTTACCCTACAGAAAACTTTTGTTGAGTTTAGGTGCGTTTGCTGTTTTGACTGCATTTGTTCATGATTGAGAGGTCACTGTCTGAACAGAAGAGGAGGAGAATGGAGTGAGAAGCCTCTTTTCCTGGTATCTTATTCCTTATGCTACTCCTCTCAATGCAGAAGGAAGTCTCTGTCTCTGTTTTTCCAGTTGCCTTTTATCTGACTAGAAAACAACACTGAGTTTGGTTCCTATATTTCACTGGCTTCTCCACACATATAACTTAAAAAAGAATGGATCTATCTATCAAGTTTTGCAGGTTGGTGGAGTAAGTTGTTTGATGCCTAGGCAGGAGTTACAGATGGAAGAAGCACAGGAACCCGTGATGATTCTTTCCACCATCAGAAGACCAGGAAGGTCAGGATATATTCCTCATATCCTCTGGACTGTCAGCATGAAATAATTCTAGCCTGTAAACAGCAACATCTCAGATGTGTTGGTGAAATGGCATTGGCTGAAGTAGTCTTACTGGCATCATAAGAATACAAACCACTATTCTCATAGCAGTACAGAATAATAGCACAAAAAGAGTGGAAGCTGGTAAGTCAAACCAGTGCACGGTAAGTTTCATGTGAACTTTGGTAGCTCAAGATTTCAATGTGTTTATTTCTGTTAACTTCTCTTTCTCTTCCATGCTTCACAGTTCAGCAAGTGCTATATTATTTTGAATTATTTCATTCCTGCCTCTAATCTGTATTTGAATCACTGTCATGAATTTCCACTGCTCGGTTTTTACCTCAATTTAAGGGTGTGAATTCTACCAACCACAGAGCCAAGGTGAGTTTCGGCAAACTGCAGCAGTGCAATAAGAGGAAGTTTGCTAGTTGTTAAAAGATGTCTGTGTTCCAGTGTCAAATTTAGAACTGGTGCACATTGTTGCAGCATGCCATTTTTTTTTGTCAAACAAAAATTAGGAGGTGATTACAGTCCAGTCAGTTTTGCATCATGGTCTTGTGTCTTCTTATAGTTCCATAATTGTATATTATAGCAGGTTCATTAAAACACATCATAGTTATTCTCATTAGAAGTTATTTTGCCTTCTATGAAGACAACGTATTTCTCCTCACTACTGGCAACCTGAAGTAGTAGCAAAGCACTAGTCAGACCTCAGTGCAATGGGCTTGCAGACCTTCACAGCTCAAAGATCTCACTTTGAGGTTTTGCTGTGGGTTATTGGTTTTTTTTGTTGGTTTTTGTTTGTTTGTTTTCTGAAGCTGGAAAGATAGAAAGTGTTGCTTGTCTGATTTTAGGTGAAAATCAAATCCCACTGAAATCATTATTTCAACACCTGGGCCTTTAGAGAGACTACTACATCTTGAGTGGGCAATAAAACTTTCATTATTCCAAATATTTTTTTTGCTATTGCTGTAAACAGCAATAAGACAATTAGTATGTTTGGTGAAGTGCTTGCCACTAGACTTTGCCTGTATATCTTAAATCTATAAATCTAAAAAACCTATTTTTTCTTTGAGTTCTGAGCATATATTGACAATATTTACCCTCTTCAAACTGCTGAGCACTTGGTTCTTCATCAAACCAAACCACTGTTAATGGGTAGTCCAGCCTCTGGTTAAGAAAAGAAATAAAATATTGCTTAAGATAGTCTTTTTTTTTATTATGCAAGCTCTTTACATATGCTTAAATTTGTGGTTTCTGATTTCATGGAGGTGTTTAGCAGTTAGGCAAACATAGAATGTCTCTGTGTTTGGCTTTTTCCTGGCAGCACAGCTGAGACAGCTGCAGAGAGACAAATTCAGAGTCAGGTTCTGTTCACCATTTATTCCCTTCATGCTCACAAGCACTGGCTTCACAGACCATGTCAAAATGCAGCTAGGGGAGTGCTGAGCAATCAGTACCTAGAGGGAGCTGAAGTTTTGGCTTAGAACAACCTTTTTTATTCCTTTTTTTTTTCTTTACCATTCCAGAAATGCAGACAAGACAAATGGCTGTACAGCTTTAGGTGTTGTCTTACTGCTCAAAGCATTTTATCTGAGAAATGAAGTTACTTTGTTCAGGTATCCGTGTGTCTGGAGCCAGGTGACCTCTGTCCATGTGTCTGTCACATATAAGATCTTCTGTCTTTACGTGGGGTTCTCTTCATGTGTTTACCTGTGTGGGCTGTTCCCTTGTTCAGCTGTGCACATATTGCAGTTCCTGAAAACCTAATACAAGTTTATACAGTCTTCTTCCTACAGGATTCTCCCTTTGAAGGAGCCACTGGTGATGCAGCACCTGCTTTGCATCAGCACATCTCAAATATGATTGCCCATACCAGACATCCATTATGTAAGATCTTATTTTAGATCCTTTGCATGTAGTTGAGGGCTATTTATACCTGCTTGATTTCTGCATGTGGTTCTGACAGTAATGGAATGTAAAATATTGCAGCTTTTAGAATTTCCTTGTTTTAGGTTGGCTTTTGTCCCTGCCATGAATGCAAGTACCAAATTGCAGTAATGGTGGGGAGAATGCATAGGTAGCAGAGAAGTCACTGGGCACTGTCTTTCTCAGAGGTTCTCAGGTGAAGTTGTTTCCTCTTTGAAGGATGTGTATCTGTGTACTGTACTATCTTTAGAAAAAGGAGAAGAGGAAAAGCGAAAATTGGAGGAAAAAAAAAATATTGCAGTCTTTCCAAGAAGGATTTTTCTAAGTGTAAGCAGAGCTGAATTTGACATGCTGTACTTGCGTGAAGGCAGCTGAGGGTTTGATTTTTTTTTTTCCTGCCTCAACAGCATATCTCTTTTTTGGTGTAATTCCTCCAGGTTTTCTCTAGACATCTCCTGCAGACAGTCCTCTCGGGTGTGATTTGTGCCCACTATGCATAAGCAAACTGATGAGTTACAGTCTACTTGTATCTCAGTGTAGATAGCTGTGGATGCTAGGATGTTCACATATTTTACACTGTGACTGGGAAGATAGTAGATTCTAAGCATGAATGTTGTCATTTGTCCTGTCAAGAAGACAGGAAGTAGCAGTGCCTAAGAAACAAGATCATACAGTTCAGACACTGTTTTTAATTGTAAGTGAAATTTGAGAGGCTGACAGCATTACTATTATTATTATTATTATTATCAGGTGATGGTTCTTGGTAGGAAAAACCTGTTTAATGCAATGGCCTTGTTCATCTTTGACAAAAGGTAGTCTTGATACTTTGAAGATGATGGTGAGTAGTGAAGAGCTGAACTGTTGGGTTACTCATCGTGTGGGTACCTGTTGAACAAGTCAAGATGTTTAAAAATAAGTAAATAAAACAATTTAAGAAGTAGGCAAGGCTTACCAGTTTCTGCAGACCCCCAAAAAATCAAGCCCATGTCTGCTTGTATGGCCTTATTTGTTGAGCTCTGGGGATTAAAGCACTATAAAAAAATTTCTTTGGAACTGGAGTAGTGCATTAAAATTACAGGTAAGAGCTTTTATACTGCAGAAGATACAATAAAACAGTATCTAAAGCTCCTAAATTAACCAGAACTGTGACTAAACAGCAACAAAAATACCTTACAAATACGATTATTTCCAGTCTCCCAGATCTCAGTCTGGAAAGGCTGCAATGTGCAACCTGCTATGCAGCAGCAGTGGCTTGGTTGGTGGTGCTTAATTCCAGTCCCATGTAGCAATATTGGGACTGATTTCTGAAAACTTGTTGTTGTGATGGGCTGCTTCAAAGATCCATTTCATGTTCTTGTTTTAATAGATAATTAGTTGAAACTGTAACTTTTTTAAAGGAGTCTGTTTCAGTATGTGCTTCCTGAAATGGAGATCATCAGATTTGTTCCTGTCCTGCTAAACTTTGCAACTGTGCCAAATCTACTAAAGGGCAAATTTTCTTGTTTGTAAACCTTTTCCACTTGAGAGAACAACTAAATAGACTCTGTAGTGATAACAGATTTGCAAAGCAAGATTTTCACCTTTGCTCCTTGGAGGGAAGTACAATAAAAATAGCAGAGGAAGTAGAAAAGTTTTTTTTTTTCCTATTCTAAGAGTTTGATTCCCTCTGCCCCAAGTTCTTGCTCTTCATAAATAACTTTCCAACATGCAGTTAACTTTATTCATACTTACAGTTCTTACCATCTTTCAGAAGCTCTCTGTACCATCAGGCACGAGCCTGGGATTCTTCTGTTTTGAGCTAAGATGAAAGTCTTACTGCGTGACAGTGGAAATAAACAATAGTTAAGGGGCTGATTTTAGGTTTCATGGCTGCACCAGGCGCTGGTTTCTGCTTCTGATTTATTTAATAGTTTTGCTTAATAACATTTTTCAAGAGAAGAACTGACAGATGTGTATGTTGGGCTCAGAAGTCTTTCAGGTACATACTGAGTGTTACACTGGGTAAGAACTGTCTGCTTTGGGACTTTGGGTGGCCGTGTTATTATGCTTTGTGTTTACTCAGAGTTAGTTGCTATGACTTGCTTTTTTTTTTTGGCAATAGTAGAGCAGTGCCTTTCCCCGTTGTGTCCTGGATCTTGCAGCAATGTCTCTGGTTTGTAGTGTCTGAAAACAACATTACAGCTTTGGCAGTAGGAGTCATTTGTAAGGATACAAGTGGAAATGATATGTCTAATGCCTGCAGGTTATCAGTGGACTTTGTAGTTATCTGCCTGTCCTGATTGCTTTTTATTCTTTGTTTTTTTTTCCTTTCTTGCTTCTGATCTTTACTATTAAGCAAAATAAATAATTTTTAAAAGTCATAATAGCATTTCATATTGTTGTAGAAAATAACACGTGGGTTATTGCATCCCATCCTCTGCAGCTGTAGGCCCATGACTTCTGTCTTGTGCAGCTTTTCTTTTAATGTCAGATGAGAAAGGGAAAATTTCTTGTACGAGCAGAGAAGTCCCCAGCCTTGACCTCCTGAAAGGCAGCGTGAGATTCACTGCTTCATTCAGTTATCATGGGTACAAGGAAACTATTTCATACCAGACCTCTCTCCATTTAAGTTTGGCTTGGTTTGAGTTGCTAATAGAAATAGGACTGAAAGGCAATTTACTGATTGCATCCTGATTTAGAATAGGACAGCAAGCCACTGCTATTAGCCCTGGTGACTGACAGCAAGTAGCTGAAAATTATAAATGCTTTTTGTATGAGAAATCTCTTCTGTCAGCCCTTCTACTGAAGCAGCAATCTGAAACAAGAAAGGTTATTCTGTTATTTCACAAATGAATTGAACTAATTTCTGATCAGATGAACCTGATCAGAATTAAAGTGGCATGTAAGATGCAGTGATATTTAGAACTCATCAAAAATATTTACAGAGGGTAATCTTTCCTGCACAGATATATACAGATACTCTGATAGCACCAATACAGAGCCCAAGTTCTCTTCTGCAGTACATGAAAGCTTTAAAACCTGCAGCTGAAATGGTCATTAGGCACTTATTCCAGATGCTTTTAAGGATTGTTTGGAATACCAATTGTTCTGTCTGGCTCTCTGAACAAAACAAACAGCTGTTGTTCTCTTGAAATTTTGTCTGAAGCCATATTTCAGACAGTAAAATACAGGATTTATTGAAATGCTGACTTTATTTTTTTGCTGCTCATAAAAGATATGACATGAAAATTAAATATATGACAGATGCTAGAGATGTCTCATCCCTGCTGAATTGGGTTACTATGTAAATCCTCAGTCATATCCTCCTCTGCACTACATCTTCTTACTTTTTCTCTTTGGTTGCATATAAAAGGCAGAAATGAACTGAGCTGAGGACTTGCTGTTGACAGAAGGAGTGTGTGCTCCTTTTGTGCCTGGCATTCATCTGACCACATGATCAGCAAGCCGGTCCTAATCTCCTAATCCAGCAGCAGAAGTGCTTTCAGTTAATTTTGTTTCTGTTACAGTTGATTTGGGTCATGGTGTAGTCGGGTCCCAGAGCCATCTTGAGATGCAGGAGGAGCACATGGCTGTGACAGTGGGGATTAGGGCAGAAGTGGGAAAGGAGAGAAATTAAAAACACTCTTTTGTGGCTTTTAACGTGTAACCCATAGCTTCCAGGTCCTTACCTGTGGGTTGGTTTGGGGTTTTTTTGGCTGTTTTTTGTGGTATATTACTCCATGTATGCTGTACAAGTAGAAAGGCTGTGCAGAACTGAGTGCTGTTCTGGCATCTTGCCTGCTTCCTGTCCGAGTGCCCCCGCTGCAGTATGTGAGTAGGTTTGCTTTGTGATTGTCCATGGACAGTACTAAAATGCCACTTCTACTCGCTTAGAGACAGCTTCTGGCACAGAAGGGGAGGAGATGTGCGGTGTTATCACTAAGAACTGGGGGATCCATCTTCAAAGAGGGCTTCTTACTACACTGAAGCATAAAGCGTTTTCCATGCGTTTTCCATGGATGTAACGTTCCATGGATTTTCAATTCACTCTGTCACACCACCTTTGTGATATATCTTCTGTTTTTCTTTCAAATTGTTAGAAACCTACATTTAATAATTTGTATTAAGAAGTTTACAGCTAAGAAACCACTGCATTAAGCATCCCAAGGCACATTAGTGTGTTAATTTTAGTTCCCTTTCTTCATCTAATTGTCCTCTTATGAGGACAATAATACAGATTATTTTGCTCTCATCATTTGTCTTTCTGTGACTGTATATTTTGGTAATACTTGGGTTGCCAGTAATTCTGTGACATGACAGTGTTTAAATCTATGTATAAAATACTTATCTGCGTTGATTACTGAAATGTGTTGTAATAGCTTGTTGTTTTACATAGAATGGCTCGGGTTGGAAGAGGCTGTAAGGATCATCGATTTCCAAGCCTTCTGTCACAGGCAGGACCACCAAGGTCCAGGTCTGGTACTAGAGCAGGTTGCCCGGGGCCCCATCCAACCTGCTCTTGAACACCTCCAGGAATGGAGCATCCACAGCCTCTCTGAGCAGAGAAAATGCATTTAGTTGTCAAATAGTTAGAGAAATTAGAAGCTGGAGGATTATTTTCTTTAGATGGAGAAAATGGCAAGAAACCAAATGCAGGCACACTACAAACAGGATTCAGGAATGATGTCGGTGTGCAGAGTCAGTGTTCCTTACTTGGAAGAGAGTTTGTGTAACTAGAAATTGATGGAAGTGCTGTGTTTTGGAAGTTTTACCCCTGATGTCAGTACATGTTCTTAGCAGAGATTGTATTCTGAGTCATGGTTTGCCGTGACCAGGTGTGACTGCAATGCTGAAATTCCGGATTGTGGAGGGACATGGGCAGTCCCCGTGCTGTGTGACACAGCCCATCGCGATGGGCCTCGTGGCCTCTGTGTGTCTGCACTGTGTGGATTCCAAGGCAGCAGCCCTCCCCAGAGCAAGGA